CTACTTCACGATCAGGGCGGCTGGGATCTGGAACCAACTTCCAAGAGAAGTGGTGCTGGCCCCTACCCTGGGGGTCTTTAAGAGGAGGTTAGATGAACACCTTGCTGGGGTCGTTTGACCCCAGTAATCTTTCCTGCCACGGCAGGGGGTCGGACTAGATGATCTACTCAGGTCCCTTCCGACCCTAGAAACTATGAAAGGAAAAAATCCACTTTTTTCCCCCACAGCAAATATAAAATCCAGGATTGGGAATAAAGGCTCCAACTAGAACAAAAAAAGAAACAAAGCCAGGAATCGTCACAATTCAGCAGTGAGATGGTAATGATCATTTTCAATGAAAGAAAAAGGAAGTCATGAGAAGACTTTCTACACATAAATAAATTTAATGTCAGATTTGTAAAACTAAAACATGCAAAACAAATCTCTATAGATAAAATGTAAGAATTCCTTCCTACCTGCGTGTTTTGAAAGTAGTGCCTCCAAAGAGGTCTAATTTTATCTTGACCACCAACATCCCAAACGGTGAAACAAATGTTTTTATATTCTACAGTTTCCACATTAAAACCTAAAAGAAAAAAAAAGAAAAGTAGTTAAATATTCACAATGACACTGTATAAACATAACTGCTATAAAATGTTAACTGTGCTCTCATGATCATTTACCATATTTCACTTTCAAAAAGGAAAACTTGATGAGCAGGCTTTTGTTAAGATGGTAGCACATTCTATAAAACAGTAAATTTTGGGAGGGGTCTAACTCTATCCTACATGCTCGATGGGGAAAGAACCCAACAACTAACCCCTTTCCTTAAAAATAAGGTCTTAAAAAGAGAAACACTTAAAAAAAAAAAAAAAAAAGTGTCCTTGCTGCTTCAGGGGATTTTAACTTTAAGACTAGACTAGATTACAGAAAACTTCACAGTAATGATGAAATATAATACAAATCTGTTTACTTACCAATAGTGGGAATTGTGGTGACAATTTCTCCTAGTTTCAGTTTATACAGAATAGTTGTTTTGCCAGCAGCATCCAAACCAACTAGAAAAAAAAGTTTCACAAAACAATCTTAGTTATTTAAGATATTCTCATTAGACATAACAGGGAAGCAATTCATTTTTCAGTGAGCAACTGGTCAATTCTTGAAGTTGTCTTTTCAGAAAGTTCTGATATACCACTAAGTAGGTTTCCTCCTTATTTCTCCTCTGCCTATCACTGAGTCACTGACACACAAGCCAATTAGCTAGTAATTTAAGTCAAATCCCAGATTCTCTCCACCTACACACTTAGAAAGCTTTGTATTTCTTCTTTTGCAGAAACTGCAAAAAATGGGATTTTTTAAATGTGCAGTTGAAATTTAATCCTCTCCTGAATATTTTCATATATTTGTTATATCTAGCATTATTTTCTAGACAGCAGCCAGAACTATGCTTTCTTTCCTCCTCAGTCATTCAGTATCTAGATTAGAAATTGTGGCCTTATCTATTACTGATCTCTTTGCTGCCTCCAGATCTAGCTACTGCTTTGTGTAGTATTTGGATTTACCTTGGATTACTTATGCTGTTTCAGCTATCTTGAAATGCAGCAGTCCACTGTGCAATACCTTATATACACTGCTTTATGGTTAGTGGAACAGCAGAATTCACGTTGTTTTTATGCATAAAACATCAAAGGATTGTGGCCTAGCTGCTATATACTTTTCTTCCCCAAACATTATTCCTATTCATTAAAATCTATTAAATCTGAGCTATTCTGGAATTCGGGGGGGGGGCTCTACTGCAGAAATGGCTTCTCTGTGTGGCAATTAACATAAGTCTGCAGAACTTCAAGGCAAACTACAGAAGAAACCTTTTTAAGAGTGAACTTGGAAAGGGGTGAATGGGAAAGCTCTTCTGAATGGAAGATTGTTAGTTTATTTTAAGTTAAAGTGGACACACCCAAATAGACTAAGACTTCATGGACCATAATGGTATTTCATTATACTATGGAGTGGTTATGCAATCTTTGACCCAGAAAACCAATTTATCACCTTACATTTCTAAATATATTTTAATCCAGTATGTCAGCAGACAAAGAAATACAGTTATGTATTTAAACTGCACGAGTGAACATTCAGCGAAGACACATACCACTTATTAAAAACACCACCATGAGAACCCAAGGCATTCGGAAGGCAAGACAACAACAACAACAAACCCCCACGCATTGTTTTTGTTACACTTTCCGCCAAACTAAAAAAATGAAACTGAAGCGGAAGGAGGGGAGGGAAATCACAAGAACATTATAGCACTGCCAACCCACTCAGCAGCAATTTCTGTATGAATACTGGCATATCCTTACTGAATAACACTGTACCATGTTTTGTACTCATTTCTTAGTTACTATTTTTGTGGCTGTCCTGCACTCATACTTGAGGTCCCTGACTATTTAATTATACATGCGCTAGTTGGGTATTATGTCAGTTTCTTTTATATTACAACATAATATAGTGCAATTTGAAATTACTCAGCTACTTACTCAGAATGAAACCAAACCTTAACACAATAAAAAAGCCGCTAGCCTCTTCCTTCTCAAACACATACAACTAACTGCTTTGGCATGACACACTTCCTATGAGCAAAACTTCCACATAAGCCAGAGGTGGACAAAATATGGCCCATGAGCTGAATAGGGCCCCATCAAGGGACTTTATCCAGCCTGCACCGCATCCGTTGGCCCTGCCTGGCTTACAGATGGGGGACACCCCAGGCCATGGCGCACAACGCTAGTCCCAGGGCACGCAGAGGGGTGGGGGCACCAAGATGGCTGGGCTTAGCTTCCTGGCAGCCCCCACAGCAGCAGCTCACTCTGCCCAGTTCCTGCTGCCAGTCTGCCCCGCACCCACCAGTGGGAGTGCTGGACAGAGCGGGCAGGCGGGTTCTCCATGGAGACCCCCATGGGCTGGGTGCACTTGGCTGCACAGATGGGATGGGGCTGCAGGCAAGTGGGGCTGGGATTGTAGTGCAGTGATAGCACAGGGGCAGGGACCAGGGCAGAGCTGCAATTTGCTCCCACATCTCTGTGACAAGCATCAGTTTCATGGACAGGCAGGTGTGGAGAGTGGATCGCAGTTCTGTACAGGCCCCAGCACAGTGCTGTCAATACTCTGTGATCCTGATCCTCATCCCCGTGATCCTGGCCCTAGTCACCCCCATCCCACTCCCAGATGCCACTCCTCGCCCACCCGTGACCCCATCCTATTTGCCGAGCCAAGCCTGCCCTTCCTGCAGGGGTCCCAGGCCAGTCTCCATGGAGACCCCAGCTGGTGACCCGGCCATGGGTGCAGGACAGATGGCTCAGGACTAGATAGGACCAACTGCCTGTCTCCCTCCACAACAACTCACCAAAACTCCTTAAGTGGCCCTCCAGCCCAAATAACTACCCACCCTTGCCATAAGCATTCTACAGTATTTGGGGTAATTTATGAATAAGCAACAATATATATTGATGCATACAAGTTAACAGAGCCAGCCTTTGGGAAAAAGCTGCCCTGGGGAAACTTGTATTCTGGTGTCTTCCCTTTGCCCCCAAGTCAGAGGTGTTACTGCAGGTGGCCCCAGCCGCTGCCACAGTGCAGTCACCCACCACCTGTCAGCCTTGCCCACTGCTGCCTGAGCACCTATTTGGAGCCACCGCTGAGGTGGGAAATGATAGCAACATCCCTGGAGCAGCTGTGTGGCTAGCCCCAAACAGAATGGGGGAGAGGGCAGCTGCCCAGGCAGGTGGCCTTGTCCCCAGTTCAGTCCCCATCACTGTGGACATTTCCCCAACCCCGTAACTGGGGGTGGGGAACATGCTCCTGCAGCTGCCTGTACTGCCTGGCTCAGTACTGGCTGGAGGTGAGGATAGGCTGAGGCAGGGGTAGAGTGCTGGGGTGTATGTGTGGCACCTCCCAATGCCCTCCCCTGACTATGGCACCCTAGGCAGTCCCCTAAGTTTGGCTCTGCAAGTTAAGGCATTTTCTCAAGTACTTTTCCCTCACATGTTAGTACACAGTTTTATAGATATTATTTTAACTGGAAAAGCCAAAAACAAGCTTTTTTGAAGAGCAAGGAAACAAAAAGATTTTCCAAATGTCAATTTAAGAGCTGGCTTTTTTAAATGTTGTTACTTTTTTATTCTGTAATTGGTAGATGCTGATCCCTTATAACTCCAATAACCATTCCTCCCTCACTCCCCTAAATGATTAGTAGGAGCAACAGATGGTCACAAAACACTTTCCTGATACTGCAATATTATAAAATACAAACGTTGGTTTAGCATTTTTCCTTATGCCTACGAATACTGGGTAGCTTCTAAAGAAAGGACTTTGTAGGGAACTCTGAACTCCTTCAAATATATGCCAGCTGTACAGAAGTAATGTCTTTAATAGTCCAAGGTATCACAGTCCAAGGCTGTTCTTTCAGAGCTCAGCCACACTAGTGGGCATTGCCAGATGGAAGACAGGGTACCTGAACCCTTAAGAGAAGTCATAAGTATTATGCCCATATCTTTACATAAGGTAACAAGGAACTTTTCTCCATGAAAATTTTAAAGAAATGGTAGCTGCTCCAAGATGTGCTGTTGGATCTGGAGTGGAGCCAACAAGCAGCATGTGGGACCATCCAGCATGCCCCACATGCTGCCCGCGAGTTAACTCTGAAACCAACAGGCACCACTGGAGGCTGGATCCAGCCTGTGGGCCAGATTTTTTACACCCCTGATGTAAATCAATTCCATGCTTCTGTGGGGACAGAGTGATTAATCAAGTTCTTGAGGTTGGCAATACTGGAATGATAATGAAGAATCCTAGATACTCTTCTTCCTAAAATAGTTTATGCTCCAGTGTAGAAAAGATACTGCAGCCAGATCTCTAAGAAACCACAATTTTGTTCTATCCCAAGAATAAACTCTGCCCACAAGTCTTTGGACAAAGGACATGGCTACTAATATTTCCAGGAGCATTCTATTATAAAAAACTTAGTCCATCTGTCACACTTTGATTCACGCTTGATTGGCTGATGGAAACAGCCAACCAGAGTGCCCCAAGCATGGGGGAGCACTGCCATGATTCCAAAGCAGCACTGGCCTTGGCTCCCCCACCCCACAAGGGGCAGAACAGTGGCAGCATGCAGCACTCAGTGGCGGCACACCATCCCAGCCCTCTCCCCCCCAACATTCTTGATGGGCAATTGGCTAGTATTATTATAAATACAGAGTAAACTGGCTCCCAAGACAACTGCCAAGTAGTTATACAAGATAGTTATGAGCATCAGGTTTTTAAGACCCAGGTACACAAAGCCTTAGCTGGGAAGATACAGTTAGGGATGATCCTGCTTTGGACTAGATGACCTCCTGAGGTCCCCTCCAAACCTCATTTTCTATGATTCACAGAATTAATGAGGTCTTGTGAAGCTGGAATTTCTGCTGGCCATCTCACTAATATAATCACTCTGCATAGACTGTTTATTCCAAACTGAAAATATCCTCACCTTGCATTTTAAAACCCTTACAATACTAAATCACATGTTTAATTGCTATGAGTTAATACATACTTCAGAAAACAAGTTTTCTTTAAAAAATAATACAGTAGCATATAATGCTTACCATGAGCCACGTATTTCTTCAATGTCTTAATACACAACTTTTGAAAACTGAAAAATTGAACAGCCCCACCATTTCTAAATCCAGTAAGGGCAAAATGTTTCTGTTAATCTTGTAAAACAAAAGTAATATTTTATTTTTAAATGTGTCCTGGGACTATGATTTTAAAAATCTGTAAACTGTCCCTTCATCACACAAAAACTATATTAAATTTCACTTAACTTGGATGAGCTCCTGATGTTATCTATTATTTCCAAATAACCACTTTCTTAGTCAGAAACCAATAACCAAAATCCAAAATAAAAAAAAAAGGGGACAGGTTCTTTTCAGACAAGTCCACAACATTCAACTCTCTGATTCTTCTTCGCATTTAATTCCAGCCTGTACAGTAATCTCAAGAGTTCCATGGGTTCTTTTGTGAAATTTCCCGACAGAACACATTGGATAAGAATAAGGGTCAAGCAGCAAAGAGCACCTTGCCCTGGCAACCATTTGATATCTGCAGTGCCTACTCTACCCCTCTCAGAACTTCCCTTTTACTTATGATTTCTCCAGTCACATTTGTAAACCTCAGCTTTACAATACACTCAACTCTGAGCCTCTACTTCCAGAGTCCCCTATGTTATCATAGCCATGTCTACTTGAGTAGTAAGCAGCCTCTCTAAAACAGTATGTGACAGTTATATAGGGTGCCTGTACATGAGCATGGAGGCTGCTCCGACATGCTGTAATTACAGCACACTGGAGAAGACTCAATTACAATCAAGTCTGCTGGAGGGTGGCAACTGCTGCGCTCCAGCAACCTCCTGCATCTTGTGTATCAGCATCCTGGTGCTTAAAAATGGCAGTGTGGACACTTGAACTAAATCTTGTTTGACAAAGAGCTCCCACTGCCATCTTCAGAGCAGCTCTTGGAGCTGTTCTAATTAAAGCGCTGCCTCATCTCGCATATCAGCGTCCCATGCTTAATTAAAGCACTCTCCCACCCCGAGAACATGTGTAAAAGTACCCATAGATTGCTTCCCAAAGAAGTTGACAGGTTTGTATAATATAACCTCTGTTTTTTCCAGAGTTACCTCTCTCCACCACCACTGAATTTTTTGTTCCTTTTTATGAATTATGCTTGCTTTGGAGCCGTGAATTGGATTGCTGACACTAGTATGTGGCAGGAACTCCCGTCTCAAAGGCTGTTCTCAGCCAGTCAAATTGTATTGCTAAAAGCAATGTCCCCTTCAGAAGGGATTTCAATCACTGTATTGTATGTTAGTCTATTATACTGTTCTCTCTCTCAACAAGAGAGAGTAATTTTGTTTTGTTTTTTTTTTGCTCCTTCCAGCTAGTCTTTGCTGCTACACATGGCAATCCCCTGCTCTGGATGCACATAAAGCTTCACACAAATTAAATAACTACAAAAACTTAGGGATTAGGTTTTTTTTAAGTGGAATAGCCATCAAAACCAATGCATTGTAGCAATTAAATTTAGAGTTCTAAAAACAAAGACAGAGCAACCCACCTTGAAACATCCAGGCGCAATTTGAGTCATAACCAGGAACAATTCAACTTCAGAACTACGCTTACTTTATCATTCGTACAAAAAAAATTCTATACTGTAATTTCTTTGCTGTTTGCAACAGCTACCATAAAACACAAAGCTTTAAGTGATTAAGAACATGTACAATTATTCTTAAGATGTTAAAGGGGTTTTCCCTCCCTTAAATTACAATTTCAAATGTTTCTGAACACACAGAAGGGATTCCCAAATTCTCCAAAGGAACTGCCCTTTGGTGCGAAAAGCCAAAGCTGGTACCACTGTCCGTTTCCCCAGGATTATTTGGTGGGCAAGAACTTAACATGAAAAGTTAATAAATCTCTCTAAAGACTGAGGCTTGGCTACATGTTCTCTCAAGTCCCACCTGTATGGCCATATCAATGTATTAAGATAGGAATTTGATTTTACTAGGACTGTGCAAGGTGCAAGACAAAAAAAATAAGGTTTTCAGTTGTGTGTTAAAGTGTAACACAACACAACACACCTTTTAAACATGTTTTTCTTTAGTTCACTAGGCATGAGACTGAAAGTCCAGGATTTTTATACTCCAATCCAAGTGTTACCTAAGGGGACTGTACCAAAACGTTTAATTCCATGCCTCGGTTGGCCTTCCTTCATCACACCCCCAGCTGTAAAATGGAAACAGAATTGTACTTCAACAGTGTTTCGCAGAACGCTTGATGTGCACAGACCACTCATGAAAGTGCAGACCAAAGTATTCATGGTTCATACCACAGATGCCCTGGTCAAAAACTTGGGACAACCCAGTCACAATCTTGGGTTTAGCAATGACCTACCATTAAGCATATTGCATCCTTTTACATTCTCTGCCTATGTTATACAATTTAATAAGATTACAAAATATTTGAAAAAGGCAAAAAATAAAAGAGCTTGCAAAGCTTAAATGTAAAGTATATGGAACGATAAATTCTACTTTTTACTGATTTTGGGAGGGCTGTAAAGAAAGTTGCTCATCATACTTATTTTCTATTATTATAGTGTTTGAAATACATTGCATGTATTTCACTGAACAGACGTTTGTTTTCTTACCCACATGATATGTTAACTTACAGCCATTTTTAGAAAAAATAATTTAATTCGGGTAAAGGAGGCAGATGGTCATATTTCACAGGTAAAGCACAAGCATTAACATCTAAAAGCCTGCGCACTACAGGGTCCAGTCTAGAGGGCAAAATCCTAACCCCAAACTGCTGCTTTTGACATAGATGCTAATTCAGTCTTTGCATCCATTCAAATTAAGTTCGTGAAGACAGCTACCTATTATGACATGGACAACTGCTTATATAGATTTCTGCCTTCCATGCTACATATACAAACAAGTCCAAGGCCCCATCTTCTAGCTGTAGATCCTTCCACACAAATAGGGTTTCACAATTATGCTGCTGAAGAGAAATATAAAAAGTGCTTGTTCTTCGACCCAGCTGTACATCTATTGTAACCAAAACCTTAAACTGGGGTGAAAACCAAGTCACTTAATGTCAAGCTGCCAGCTATTAAAAAGCACTGCTGATTACTTTAAAACTAACCTAGATTTCAGCTAGTTACCTCAGGATAGAGAGACTAAAGGGCTGAGAGCTAGGAGGACCTCCAGAACACCACCTCATCAGGCATTACTCTTGCAAATGATGAAGACGCAACAGGAATACCCACAGCAATGACCAATGCATTCCTCCAGCATGGCTTAGGGCCACCTCCTGCGAGGATTTCGTAAGTCACCGATCATTGCCTGTGAAGAATCACTGTCCACGTGCAAGTAAAGTGGAACAAAATATCGCCCTTAAAAACAACATACTGCTCATTTACTAACACAACTGTCCCAGTGAGACAAGGCTTCCCTGGAAGACAGGGCTGTTCTCACCCAGCTTTCGAGGCAACCAGACGAGGCTCTTACTTCAAATTCTTACTTTTGGAAACGAAGATGGCAACCATCCAAGTGAGGCTAGCAAAGCGGCCCTGCGGCTTCCACGCCGGGTGTGCAGCCGTGCAAAGGGAAAGGCCGGTTTCCTACCGAAAAAGCCCTGGCCTGGATGCGGGGGAGCTCCCACTGCCACAAGGTGGGGCTGGACCCGTCTCCGGGCCGGGGGGGAGGGCAGAGATGTGGGCGGTGCGGGGAACCCCGGATCGCGAGCCCAGCCCCCCACAGGGCCCGTAGGGCGGAGGCGAGGGAGGGACTCGCGCAGGCCGCGGCGCCGCGCCACGCCGCGCCGCTCCCAGCCCTAGGACCGAGCTCGCCCGCATCAGCCGCGTCCCGGCAGGCTCCGCCGGGGTGGGGGGGCCGGCTGCGGCAGAACAACAAAACCAAGATGGCTCGGCGGCTGCAGCGCGGCCCACGGGGCCTAGTCCCTCCGCCCGCGGCACGACCCTCCGCTGCGGCGGACCCTCGGGCCGGGGGTGTCCTGCCGCCCGCGGGGCTCAGGGGAGGGGACTCGGGGGAGTCCGGGCCGTACCCATGAGGATGCGCATCTGCTTCTTGCCGAAGAGGCGCGAGAAGAGCGAGGAGATGGTGAGGCCCATAGCGGCAGCGGCGGGGCCTGGCTGTGATCGGATCGCTCCGCGGGTCCCGGCCCGGCAGCACCAAGGGCGGGCGGCGGCGCCTGTGCGTCCGGGAGTCTCGCTCGCTCTCTGCCACGTCACGTTCGCCACGGCCGCCGGCTCCAACGCGGACAAAATCGCGTCACGCGGCCACCTCCCCGCAGCGGCACCGCCCCCACCTCCGCCCCCCGGCCGGACTACGGCTCCCAGCGGCCCCCACACCCAGCCAGGCCTCGACGCCCGGCGCCGCCAGCGCAAGGCATGATGGGAAACGTTGTCTGGGGCCCGCCGGCCCTGAGCGAAGGCATGCCGGGAGCTGTAGTCCCGCCCTCTTCCTTGCCACGCCGCGCGATGGGGGATGTAGTCCTCGCGGCTGGGTCCGCAGCGCCTCCACGTCGGAAGGCGGGGCTGAGCAGCGGCCGCAAGGGCCGAGGGAGCGAGGGCCGGCCACTCCCTGCGCTACCTTTGCCCGTTCCGCGTATCCCTGCCCGCCCTTCCGGCTAGCTCCATCTGCACCAGGTGTCTCCCTGCTGCCTTCAGCGTTTTTCCCGCCCCCGCTGCGGGGTGCAGGCTTTCCCCCCCGCTCCCCGCCCTGCCCTGGCTCCTCTCTTGACCCCCCCGCAGGTTGTTTGCTTGCCTCGGCCTCAAACTTTTACCTTCCTCTGTTAGAATCATAGAAAATGAGGGGTGGACGGGACCTCCGGAGGTCACCTCTAGTCCAGCCCCCTGGTCAGAGCAGGACCAGCCCCAACTACATCATTCCATCCAAGGCTTTGTATACCCAGGTCTTAAAAACCTCCAAGGATGGATAGTCCACCACTGCTCTGGAGAAGCTATGCCAGTGTTTTACTACCTTCCTAGTGAGAAAATTCTTCCTAATATCTAACCTAAACCTCCCTTGCTGTAACTTGAGATCATTGCTGTTTGTTCTGTCATCTGTCACTACTGATAACAATCTAGCTTCATCCTCTTTGGAACTACCCTTCAGTTAGTTAAAGGCTGCTATCAAATCTCCCTCTCAGTCTTCTCTGCTTCAGACTAAATAAACCCAGTTCCCTCAGTCTCTCTTCATAAGCCCCAGCCCTCTAATTATTTTTGTTGCTATCCACTTGACTCTTTCCAACTTTTCCACATCCTTTCTATAGTGGGG